TCCAGTAAACCGAAAATTTCATCGGCCGATTTCCCAGTATATTCAGCAATCATTGATGCCACAATTCCTCGAAATGGATCTAATTTGTTATTCTCATAGTCAGCCCCACTGATTTTGGGTAAAGATGCGGAAGAGTTTGAATTATCGATTTTAATAGTTTCATCCACCACTTCAATAGCTTTCTGCGAAGCCTCTAATTCATTCATCTTATTCATCCAATCCTTGTAATTATTTGATCCCTCGTTTCCCCCCGTTGCCTTTAATATACCCCAAGCCGAAAAATCTGCTAGTACAGGTTTGTCCGGGTACACCAAGTAGCTTCTTCCGTGTTTCTCTAATGACTCGTGAATTAAAGATGGTTTCAGATCTGGTATAGATCTAGCACTAAAAATATTAAGTAAATCGTCTTGGTATGAAGTTTTAAAAAGTTCTGAGAAATTTGTTTCGTCATATAGGGAATTATGTTCAGAAGAACGCGCTAAATAACGAAATATGTTGGATCCTGTAATAGTAATGGAGGGTTTGATATTCGTAAGTTTTAGTGTGGTGTCAATTTTATTTTTGTTTAGAATTAGTTTTAGAGATGCGAGATTTTCGAGCCGATGGGCTTTAATATACACAGCTACCTCCCCATAAGGTGGGAAATCGTTTGAAAAATGCAGTTCCATTTAAACAAAATAACGATTCAAAAATAATTTTCTGTATTTATAATAGTTATAATTACTAGAGAAGTTTCCGATCCGTGATAAAATCTTGTAAATTTTCCCTAAGTGTTGTCCGATCATTACTTTATCATGCAAATATGAAGTACATCAGTCACAGTGACTAATGTTTAGGCTATGTTGAATCGGAGGCAGTGTAGAGATTGTTTCATTTTTTTTTTTGCACTTATTATATTTATTTGGAGATCACTGGTTGTAACCTCTAAAGATTGTTTTATACTGCGCATAATAAATGTAAATGAAAATTTGTTATTCTAAATACACGTACTGTTTATGTATAAAAAATTATTTTTTTTTTGTAAGCAAATATTATTTCTTTATTTGATTTGTTTTTTTTAAAATGTCAAGGTGAAACTTATAATCTTTATTAAAAGATAATTATTAATTATATGTTTAATATTATATACAGTAGTAGTCATAAGTATTTCACCTAAAGATGGATCCCTAAAGTATTTAGCATATACAGTGGTGGCGGATAATAATGACAATCAAATGACATGATTTAATTTGAGCTATTTTTATTGAAAATTTTTTAAACTTTGACTATAGAT